GCCCCCCCCCCCCCCCCCCCCCCCAATTCCCAGTAAACAGGCCAGACCACATCACATTAATCTCATGAGTGGGTTTTTTAACGTACCCTGCCTAACCAAATTAACTAATCAACAGATGCAGGAGAGGGGACCTCCGGTTTATTCGCCCTTATCCTAGAAGACTAGAATGTCTATCCATTTCTTGATGTTATAGAAAGGTAGCACATTCTCCTCACTGAGTTATTTTAAGACCCTGAGTGTTGGTCCAGCCGTGGCTCGAACCCTCAACCTCCCGTACAACAGTCCGGCGCTCAACCAATTGAGCTAACTGGGTGCAGAGAGACACTGTAAGAATTTAAGTGTTTTGCCTAACAACACAATACAATGACCTAGGCAGGTCTCAAATGCGATCCTCTCCACCAAGGGTCCAGCCCACCAGCTATGCCTCTCCAGTGTGAAGACTACTAGTTGAAAGGCCATCATATATCCCACAGAAAAAAAAATTCCCAGAAAAACATTTGACAGGTTCACTTGTTACCTTTCCTCATCATCTTCCTCATCTCCCATGACATCATCTATAGCATCATTCATCATCTCTTCTTTCATGTCCATAATTTCTGACTGAAAGTAAAAGTGGTCCCTTCATTCAAAATCCTTGTTAAAAAATCATTGCTAACAAGAAATTAATCTTGAAGGTCTAAACACTGTCAGTCCAGGGTGGCCATTATAATCTGGACTGAGTGGCGGCTGAATTGAGTTACACATGAACTTGGGTAGCAATCATGGCATGTTGCAAGCAACACATCCTTTGAGGAAAGTCCTGGGGCATGCACCCCTGGAAAAAATTTGAACATCTCTGAAATATGATTTCTATTTTTTGATCCACATTTACAAAGTAGCTGGCGCAAAATTATCTGAGGGCCAGCATGGTTGCCCCCGTCTGCCGCTTTCTAATGTCAACCCTGATTGAGTGGATTTTCCAGGAGTCAATGTTTACCTGCTTTTCAAATTCCATCATGATCTTCTGAATCTGTGGCAGTTTTAATTGTTTGTTCATGGTTGCCATCGTCTGAACAGAAAAGAATGAAATATAAAAAACCCATGAGTAATTTCTGATAGACTCTAAGATTTTTCTATCTGGCAAATTTTGTTGTATTTTCCCTGAAACATTACAAAAAGACTCTCATGTTTAAAATTATAGGCCAAGAAATTCCACCAAATGGTAATAAGTTTGATAACTTGCACACACAAAATCCTAAAAAATGTGACCCGGACTCAGAATCACTGCTGATCACTGCTTACACCCCATTGTCATACACATGATTTACTCAAGAGTTTACAAGTTTGAAAACAGCTGAGCATTCAACACATCAGTTTGATCTTTCTCTTAACAATTTCCATCGTAGTCAGGTCTTTTTGCTTGAAACGCCATACCTTTGCGACTCCCTTCATTGCTTGGGCCATGGCATTATTTGATCGCAATGTCTGTAAAATAAACAAAGCAATCACTCATTCAAACAATGACAACTCGTTAAAAACTGAAAGAGAAGCCTTCCATAAGATTGAAGTGGAATTCTGCAAAGAGAGGAAAACTTGAGAACTACAAGGACACCTAAATGCAAGGATGAGCACCAACAACACACTCAACCCACATACAAAGCCAGCAGAAATCAAAACCAGGACACAGGAGGAGCAACTCCGACCTGTACATTTGTCTAATGGATGTTAACTCTGAGTCTACAACTAAAATTACTTGTAGTGTATTACATTGGACTTACTGACAGTTGGAAATTTGTAAGGAAGTATGATTTGTAATATTTATGCTGCAAATTTGAAGGCATTAACCTCCAAAACAATTTGAATGATCAACACATACATGTATGTATTTCATGATTCTCTCTTCTACTTGCTATACAGTCACATCCTTGTAAACTACTTACAATAAGAGAAATTGGTGCAATATTTTAATGATACATTGCCATTGATGGGTTTCTCTCCTCCCATCACCTGTTTGCAAAGCACTCAAATTGCCACAAGTTTTAAAATTTCTGGAAATTATAGGTTATAGTTAAAACAGTAGGAGAGAGAATAAAAACAAGGAAAATTGTCTATTTGATGCTATCAGTCAGGTTTAAATTGCAAGAAGCTAACTCAAATAATTCTAGGAATTAGGAATTGAAATCTTACAAGAACTTAAAAAATAACTAAAGGTAAATTTCCCATTAGATACTATCATTCTAAGTGACAGAAAAAAGTCAATTCATTAAAAACCTTTTTCTTTGTACCACTCTTCAGCCAAATAAATCAAACCAATTTATTTTTTAATTAAAAGGCACTTTATCCACTCAATATTTTGACATTTTTAGATATCAGAATATTTTAAAATCTTAAATTGATAAAAATCTGCATTTAATATTTTATTTCTTATAAAAGTACCACTGACAATAAAATCAAAATTGAGAAGTACATAATTGTGGGGCAATGGTTGCAAAATTCACCCTTATCCAATAGCTTCAGGTAACCAGAATACCTCTCTTTAATTACTACTAATTTCAATATTCTGAACAAATGCTTGAATTGATGGGTGAAAAATTCTTGGCTACTTCAAGATGCAAATGTGATATTGTTAACCCCTGCATCCTGCATCTCTGACGCATAAATATTTGAAAAGATGCAAAACATAATCTGGCTAGTGTCAATTTCTAACAAAATGATTGTAAAAACAACGTAAAATAATTTTCCTTCAGATAAAACGAATGAAGGTAAGTTTGGAAATACTGACAGTGACTATTTTTGCCATGTTCATATTAATTTTCTTACTTTAGGGTAGATAATTGACAAGATTACACACTTGTCTCAATAAAGTGAAAAAAAATGGTTTGCTGAGCATAAGATTATGGCACAAAGAATTGAGATTTGAAAATTTGGGGGAGCAAAAATGTCAAAATCTTTGAAAATCAAGGTCTTCCTTCTGAAACAAAGAGAAAAACAAATTCATTTCAATTGGGTATAAATCATTTGATATTCAATAGTGTTGAAGGCAATTTTGAGACACACAGCATATGATGACAAGTTGTGGGAAGGCTTGAACATAAATTTCCATATCAAACAAGTGTGTAGTGACCTCTTACATTCTAATATCAGAATGCATATTCTTCTAACTGTTCTCTATGCATTTCTTAAGGAGCTAACAAGGATAATTTTTCTGAACAGTCAAGAGCTTCTTTAGTTGGTGATCATTTCCTTTATTGTCATGACCTTAATGTGTGATTTAGGAGACATTGTAGAGAGAAATTACAGGCTGGTCACTGTAAGTAGTCACAGGGTTTATAGTTGCATTTTGCAAAGCATTACATCAACAAATCCCAAATCTGAAATGCTGGCAAAATCTACTACTTTCTTATGGATACATTGCATATTTCATGGTTCAATATTTCCTGTTGGTGCAGAAATTTTATACCAATACGAGTTTAATTCTCTATGTTCCTGACTTTGATAATAAATACATGTACAAGACAAAGAAAAAAATAAATATAACCCAGTCTGAAAAAAATTTTCACCCCAAAAAAACAACATTGAACCACAACATGTGAACAGCTATGTTTGGTGCATTTAGAAATAATGACAAGCTACAAAAAGTTATTCATTTCCTCTACCAAACTTCAAGTTAATTGTGTGTGATGAATTTTACCATTACCTACTTCTGAAAAATAAACTTCCTAAGTGGACGTTTACACTATAATAAAAGTTAGCTGCCATTAATCCAACTTGAAAGACTGAATTTTAATAAAATTTATCAAAGAAATTCTATAGAACTATTTGAAGATACAGGCTTCATAAGTGGAGGTTTACACAATTACAAATATTACAAATTTTAAAGTTATTAAAATTAATTGCCATCTCTCCAACTTGAGAGACTGAATTTCAATAAATTTAGCAAAGAATGAAAATACAGAATTCTTATGAGTGGTCTGCACATCAGCAAAAATTATTAAAATTATAAAATAATCTGACATTTATCTACCTCGAATGACTGAGTTTAAACAAAATTCAGCAAAGAAATTCCATATAACTACCTAAAGATAACGACTCTGGCTCAGGCAGTTGAGATGTCAGATGCCATCTGGGGCACTATGGCTTTCTGAATTTTATCCAGTGAAACAATGATAAACAAACTACATGATCAATGATTCACACAGCTCTTGTTTCTACAGGTTCATCAACACAACTTCAGTACACTGTACAATTTGCACAGTCACATCAATTTCAAGAAATATATCCTTATTTTTGAGGGAATATCCCTCAAAGAAAACTCATATTTTTCTGTCAGACCTTAGACTCCTTTCTCCCTTTTAAGCATTCTAACTGATAAAGGTTTCCTTGAGACAGAAACCTACCTGGATTTTGAGTGAAACTGCCTGAATATTTGCACGCATCAATATGAATTTCTTGACATATCGCCTGGTTCTCACAAGGTCTTTGGCCATTATCTTGACTGCATCCTGGAAAGTGTACATCGAGTGTAGTTAATTGTTAAACTCCAATAAGTGATTATCAAATAAATTCTCCCAGCCTATAATATCCATGTACACTCAGTCTGGTTATTATCTTGATCTAAAACAAAATTCTTGTAACTAAATTACAAGGAAATGTGTAGCAGTTAGAGGGGAGAAGTAGCAATCAGATCTTGGGAATTTAAGGGTTAAAAACGGGGACTGCCTCCCACTTAAATAGAAAAGTGACCCTGTGTAGAGGAGGTGAACATGAGGATGGGCACCCCACAAGGCTGAGGGCTGGAAAGGTATAGCATAGGAGAAAAGGAAGGGGGGAGTGACATTCCCAAACTTCATGAGAACAGGAGAGGGTTGGGATAATGGAAAAGCAAACAGACAAGTTAAATTTCCTAACAGGTGGTCTTCAATGTTTAGCAACAAAAGGATGAGATTCAAAGAGTAACTGAAAATACTTGGATATTGATTAGAAACGCTAAGAATTTAAGATTAGAGAGGTATGGGGTGATGTACAAGGGGATATAATGAAAATAGACATAAATGAAGTACAAAGGTATGGGAAAAATTGTGGTGAGATATCACATGTGTCAACTAAGGAACCATGAAAACACTAAATAAGGCTGGCAAACTGAGTTAGATTTCCGCCTTTTCAGCTGCTTTACAGCTACAAAAAAAAAAAAGAAAAAAGAACACCTAGAAGTCCACATCTGATCACTGGTTAAAGTTCATATATACCAGCTAATCAAACTTGGGAATTGAAACAAACAAGCAACTACTACAGGTGCTTTCTTCGCTGGTGATTGTATAGAATTTTCAACAATACCAATAGAGACTAAAGGTCTGACATCCCGCAAGGCGAAAAGCAGACTGGTAAAAGGTAAAACAGAGACAGTTACATACCACCTATAGCTCTGGAGAGTCTTATAATTAACAATTATTCACCGAAGGCGAGGTGAATATCGTCAAATAATCCCCGAGACGAAGTCGAAGGGATTATTCAACAATATTCACCGAGCCGGCGAATAATTGTTTTAGTATAATTTCAGAGCTGAACAACGGAGAAATTTCTAAAATCATAACATTTTGGTAACATTTATTAACATTTTATTTTAACATTTTATATAAACCGCATGGAGTGGTTTATATAATGTCATATAAGGAACGGCTTGACCAATCAGATTGCTGGAAACTCTTTGCTCAGCTCTGAAATTATACTACCTAATCACTTTTATATCATGGAACAGAATTTCACCTCTCTCTAGTGACCTATATACCTAGTCACGCAAAAATTTTAAGTTGAAGCTAAAAAACCTTAAAGTTTCCAGAAAAACTCAATAGAGCTGTAATTCTTACAGACATACCATCTGTCCAAGATTTGCCATTTTCTTTATATCAGCTATGACCTTCTTTTCTTGTTGTTCCATTTTGGCTCGCTCTCTATCAAGATCTCTGAAATATGTGAATTTAAGTTAACTTTCTTATTGCTTTAACTCCCAGAAGTGATTAACATGTAACTTCTCCTAATAACATCCACTCATTATCCAGCAAACAGGTAATGAGAATACTCAAACTTATCAGGTAGAGGTTTTAATCTTGATCTTAGACTAAATTCTCTATATTAATTTACAAGGAAAGGTGTAGCAACTAGAGAGGAGAATTAACAATCAGATCTTGGGAGTTAGAGAGTATTAGGATGAGAGTTTTGACGTACCAATTGATGCTTTGATCAGGGGGAGGGCTAGGGATTGTCTCCTGTTCTTAGGCAAGACATCTTGCTCCCAGAAAAACACCACACACAAAAAAAAACCAGTCAAACAATGTAAGACAGTTTCTGGCTTTGTGTCACATCTTTGTAGGAATCAGTAATCATAGTTTAATGTCTTTACGTGGGGCATGGTTACCCATATTGCCCAAGCCAGAGGCTCATGAATGAAACGCAAGACAACAAACCACCCATCCCACCCCAGGGGAGGACATCCATCGCACAGTAATCTTGTGCATGGGAAATTAACGTCTCCTACCCCTAACCCTGCAGGAGACAGGACCTCCATTTATTCATCCCTATCCGAGAAGACTAGAATATCTAAACCATTTCTTGATGTTATAGAAAGGTAGCATATTCTTCTCAATTATTTTAAGACCTTGAGTGTTGGTCCGGCCAGGGCTCGAACCCTTGACCTCCTGCACATCAGTCCAGCGCTCTATCTATTGAGCTAACTGGGAGGCATAAAAACGGCTACTAAAGGCTTTTTATTAGCTTGGCCAAACCTTTTGCATAAAATGCATATGAAAAGTCATCTAGCGACCCTCATATGTATAAGGTTTAGTTTAATGTTATCTATAAATGCACAGTTGTTATAATCAGTAACTGAAATCGAGATTGATAACGAATATACACTGTATATCAAAGTTGGATACTTGATTGCAACACCAGGAGCTTCATGAACCAGGGACAGGTAAATGCTCGGAAAAATCCTTGAAAATTTATACCTCTGTGTGTTCGATGACTGTGTAAGGCGAAAGGCGCGAACAACTCGACATACTAACAAGAGCAACAATACTGTCATGATCTAGCTTTTGCATAATTTGTTCTAAGCAATAGATGTGGATAATTTCCCTTGGAAACAAATCTTCGGTTGCAAGAGACGGATTATAGAAAAAACTTGTTTCTATAAGTGTGCATACTATACAGAAATCAAGCATTCCTTGCCTCTTAAGACTCAAATATTACCTAACAATTTAGACAGTACGTTAAAAATTCTGTCAAAAACAAAACACTAACCTCATCGCTCTATTCAAAGCTCTCTGGTGCTGTTTAAGCATCTGCTCCGGAGTCTTCCTCTTGCCAAATAAAAATTCCATGACCAAATCCCTTTACTAAGGTAGGTTTTGAAGATTTAGATGTTTATGAATCGAGGAAAGCTGGAACAATTTTGATCGATTACAGTCTCGTTTTTACCTAAATTTCCAGAAACTCGACGTCACTGTAGCATCGTGGGCTCAATCACGAATTTATACGTCATGTCACTTGATGGGGAAACTGACGTCATAACGTAGACCCGTCACTCGCTTTCAGTCGGTGGAAGAAGCACAGGGAGCCCAGACAAGGGGCGAGTCTGGTTGTTTATTCGAAATGTAAAGGAATGTTGAGAATATTGAAGAGTCTTATTATCGTAAACTTATATTATGAAATGTCTGAGTTTTAAATCTCAAAATAAATGTAAACCTACCTCACTTCCTGTGTATTGTCGTTTCTGTGGCTCTAAATGGCGAATTTGTGCGGTTTGGTGGGTTTTGCGTCGACTGTTACTATACGTTACAAGAAGGTCAACTATAAGTCTCTTTATAGTTCACTACTAGATTTTCTCCGGTTCTTATTGGTTTAAATCGATCACGTGACGCGATAGTGTTCATCCGTGGAGAGACACTATCAGCCCATAGTGCCCGCCCGCGGAAAATACCCGGATGGATAGTTTCTTAAAGAGAAGACAAGGTCTTCTCTTTGAAAGAGAAGACCAGGATTAAAAAAAAACCGTTTAAATCAAGTGAAATCGGTAAAATAACGACACCAGGAGCAAGCAATACACGTATGGAATACTGTAAGCCATTTTTATTTAATATTTTCACTTTTAACTATCTCTATGGCTATCTTGTAGACAATCCCATACAAAATCCTTATAAATCGATATGCAAATTGTGTGCGTTGTGTGGTTCTCAAAGAGAGCTTGGGCTGCCTGTGCTGGGAGCAGGCCGTTAAGTTCATTCGTAATAAACCCGTGATGATAAATCACATATGATGAATATATGAAGTTCATATATTTTGAACTGCGGTTATATATCTATAACCGTTATATATTATTTATCTATAACCGCAGTTCAAAATATATGAATTTCATATATTCATTGGACCACTGACGAGTCGACAACCTTAGAAGTTTACGGAAACGACCGTATATCGGATAATCAACGGTTTATTGATATAACTATTCGATCTGAAATCAACAAATTTCACAACAGTTATTTGTGGTATTCACCTACGTTGAGATCCCTAACAAATAAATAAAGAATTACCGTAGAAAACTCAAACCAAACCTACTTCTGTGGCGG